TGTATATTGCTGTATTCATGAAAGATTCTGTATTTATTTGACAAAGTTTTTATTCCCGCGTTCGGTTTAGCGTATAGTTAAACGGACGTTGCGTCATTTGTCATTTGTTATTTTATAAACGTCAATTTTTCTGAAGAAGACTAAACGTCGAAAGCTTAAGAAAAGCTTTTGTTTTTATTGAACTGATTATATAGATAATACTAGCGCATTCATGAAATATGATAAGGTAAATCAGAATCTCTACTATGATGAAGTACAACTGAATAAAGAAGGTTAAGCTATATTGGGAAAGCAAATTAATGCAGGCATTAGAAAAATCCTTGGAATTAATACCAACAATTCCGGACAACAAGAAAACAATTTCTCTAGAGAAAGTGTAAATTTTTGGAATGCCAACATCTGTCTGGTCCCAATGCATTGCTTTGTCTGATTTAAATGACTTTCACACCTTTTAATTGTCCGCTAATCAGATAAATACCGTAATAATTCTATTTAGCGCCCATCCTCTAATAGACGCCCACCCCCAATATTTTGGACAAAAAACGGCCATTTTTCAGCCCAAAGTTGAAAAATTAACTGCCCCTTTTAAACGCCCATCCCCCGATTTGAGTACAATTGAGCTTACCTTTACAATTCAAGTTTCCTTATTTCCGTTTTCACGTAGGAACGAACTTCCCTTTTCTTGTCTTTTTTTCCGTAAAGTTTATATGTACACGGTATTTCAATGCCACCACCTTTTACAAAAGTTCCTTTTGATGACGAACGCGGTTCTCCAAGTATTTCGGCACTGATCCATCTTTGAATAATTTTGTAAGAGGCTGACATAATCCCTCTGGTATATGTCCAACAAGAGATCCATTATTTTTTACGATAATTGCGCTATCACTATGTTCATTTTCTGGTTCCAAATTACACTGAAGTATAGTTCCGACTGGGCATGTATATTTGTAAACGTGATATCCCTTAATAACAGATTTTATAGACACAAGCATAGGTGTTGCCATAATTCAATGTGTTTTGTGTATAAGATATATATACATGTATAAAAAGTAACCATTCCGAGATGCCAAAACTCACGCGCCTATTTCATTACGTCAGCAAGGTCAACGTGCGTGGTTCAATGTATTGGGGCCCAACATGGGAGATTAGTTCTGATTAAAATTATTTTGAACAATAGACGATTGTCTTTATATATCAAAATCCCGCATCAATCCCTTTAAGAACATATATGCTTGTGTCAGTAAAATCGGTCAGAACTATTCTTACTTTTTTTAACAATTATATTGGCGGGTAAAAAATGCATAATGATCGGACTCGAAATATTCCATTGATTTTTTGAATTGTATAGAACATCCCAGATTACAGAGTTAATTGGTAACCTTACATAAATATTTCGTTGGTAAAAATCATAATATTTTTGCAGTAAAAATGCGTGAGGCTCATTTTTTATTCCCGTGCTCGGATACCGGACTCTACATGCACGGTATTGAAGTGCGGAAAAGAACAGACTTTAGCCGGTACGTTACGATACCGAAATCGACTTTAGCGTTGTCTGCAATTATAAATCAACATCCGCTCTATATTCGGATTCGATTTCTTCTTATAGTTATGAGGGGCGAGCCTTGCTTAGAAAATTAGTTTGTCTTATGAAGATGCGTCTCCAATTAACGCCCATCCCCAACTTTCGAAAAGTCTATGATTCTAATAAAAGCCCCGGCGCTAAATAGAATTATTACGGTAATACCTGTTTTAACACCCAGAGAGACAAAATAATTAAGTCCAATTATAATCTTCAAACAAACTCTACACACCTCTGATTACATGTATATATGCAGGTGTCAAGTGACGTAGCGTCTGGAGTGTCCGTAGCGTCCGTAGCGTCTGATGCAATCGATGTGTGTTGACAAATTGAGGTCACAGGTGTAATGAACATAATGAACTGAGTAAACTGTATTAAGACTTGTGTTTAAAAAATTATGGAGTGCCAACGGAAGATTTTTTAAGGCAGAATTTCTTTTTATTTTACCTTTCTATGGCTGCATGGATAATACGGAAAAATGTTGATACCAGACTAATATGGATATGTTTTTAAAAGTATGATATTTATTTTAAGGATTTGAATGCATCAATTTCAAGTTTATTTTGTACCATAATGATTCAATATTAAACTAATACAAAACATAAAATTAATTTTTATATGATATACATACTATTATATTTGCTTTACAGGGATTCTTATTTTATTTACAGTACATGTATCTATGTATATTTGCAATTGGTTAAGATATTATTCCTTCACACAGTTATACAGTATATATGTAAAGTCACAATGATATATAGACAGATAGATGGTATAATTTAAATTTTAATTTTCTATGAGACTGTATTAAGAGACTCCCTGTCATATGTGACCTTTTTCTCAAGATCCCTTGGAAAGTCACATATGACAGTCTTGACTGTATTTCTGAAAATCTAAATTCTATGGAATATGATATAAGAACAGATTTGCCTCTTCAAACTTTGAGTGAAATAACAATCGACAAAAAAGGAATTAACTTTTTTCATTTAAACAGTCACTACCTGTATCCTAAAAGAGATGAAATCAAAAATTTAGTTGACAAATATCCAGACATTGACATACTAGGTCTACAAGAAACTTTCCTAAGTGATGTTTTTGCTGACTCAGAGATATCTTTAAACAATTATCAACTCTTGAGATGTTACAAAAAATCAAATGGTGGTGGACTTGTTTTGTTTGTTAAAAATTCATTGCCATGTGAACAAAGATCTGATTTACAATCTGAAGATACTGAATCAATTTGGCTTGAAATGAATCTTTTTTGACAGGTTACATTTATAGGCCACCTTCGTCATTAACTTCATGGAATGATAACATTGATGGAGAAATTCTTGAAAAAATATTTGTTGAAAACAAAGAAATAATTCTTTTTGGAGATTTTTACTATAATTTTGGAACTACAGGTTCAAATAACTCAGCATGGAATAATATTATTAATACATTTAATCTGTCACAACTTATAACACAGCCTATAAGAGTTACATCAATATCATCAACTATTATTGATCATGTCTATAGTAATCAATCACAAAATATATCATACATTACTGTCCCTAGTGACCACTTTCCAATAATTTTCACAAAACGAACTATCAAAAATGTTAAAAAAGGTCCAATTCATTTTACAATCAAATACAGGTACTTAACCCATTACTTCATGAGCATTTTGTGAAAAATGGCTGTTTTCATTGAAAAGTCTCCCGTTACAAGTTCAAATTGCTATAATACTATAAAAACTGCTTTAACACTAATCAAACTTGGCACAAATGTTGACTGGACAATTGCCCTTGCAAAAACATGCTCAGGCTTAAATTTTCTGTTACCATGGCAACGAGGGGACATCTCAAAATTGCCAAAAATCACTCTTTTGCGTTGATTTTTTCCATCAAAATTGATTTCAAAGTGCTGCAACTTCTCAATGGATTCAGATAGAGTCAAATGCTTTTCAGCGTTGGTTACACGTTACCTTATGATCAATCTGGGGTCATTTATAGCCTCTCACAAGTCCAAAATTTTCTTGGCGATGAGGGGGACTCCGCCCCCCTTCAAACCCCACAAACAGAAGGGGCCACATCCCCCTTCTGGCAACCCCCTGATGTATCTTTTGGTTGGGGGGCCGCGCCGAAAAAGAGGTCACTTTTTTTAACAGCATTTCTCAAACAAAAACAAGTGTTGCGGGCCTAAATAAGGCATTTTTTCACCATTTGAGACAATACAAAGGGGGGGGTGAAAAAGGCGTTAAAAGGCGTGTATATAACGTAATGGGTTAAAGAACTTCAACGCAGATAAATTTCTAGATGATCTGACAAAACAACCATGGTCCCTTATTGATATGTTTAATGATCCAGATGACGCTTTAGACACTTTTAATCAATTATTTTTGGAAACTCTCAATATACATGCTCACTACAAACAAAAACGAGTTAAGCATAAAAATCAAGCTGATTGGTTCAATGAGGATATAGCTAATGCAATCAAACAGTACTTTGACCTCCAATCCAGAAAACTCTTTTTTTAATGCTTATATTTTGCCACATATTGACTACTGTTGCACTATTTGGGGAAACTGCAGTAGTGAATTACTTTCACAAATTGTCAACTTTCAAAAAAAAGCTGCAAGAATTATTTTAGACAAAAGTTTTGATACCCCATCAAATATTCTATTTAAAGAATTAAATTGGATGTCCTTTGACCAAAGAATTATGTACAAAAAGGCAATCCTCATGTATAAATCTATAAATGAACCATACTTTCCTATTTATATGAAAAATAAATTCCAAACAGTAAATGACAAACATGACTTTAACTTAAGATCCATACAAAATGAAAAACTAACTGTACCTAAACCAAAAACAGAATTTTTTAGAAAATCATTTAATTACTCTGGTCCTGTGGTATGGAACAGCATACCAATACATATTAGAAATTCTGATACCCTGAGGAAATTTCAATCCTCCTATATCCAGTGGCAATTTTCTAACTAATTGTTAGTACAAATTGTTTCAAAAACATATACTTTCCATGCTGAAGTTATGAAAATGTCACTCCTCTATGTAAGAAGAAAAAAAAAATTGTTTACTTATTTATTGTATTGATATGATGTTTAATGTACATATTTATGTTGTCTAAATGTTGATTGTGATTGTATTTTATGTTGTCTTGTATATACTGAGGCCTGCATGGAAGATCGGGAAACTGAATGTGTTAGCCTCATAAAATAAAATTTACTTACTTACTTACTTACTTAACTTACTTACTTACTTACTTACTAGTTATTCATAATTTGTAAGTCTTACTGTTTTAAGTGCCCAAGTTGATCTATGCAATAAATTCATTTTTTATGTTTCTGTACCTCAGTGGAGTTCCTTTTACATATAAAATATTTAGAGTAAATAAGAGAATAAAATATATCAATTATTACCTGTAGACATTCCTCAGTTTTAGCTATACTGTTGTGACTCAAATCTAAAACTTCAACAAAAGGAATAAAACTCTGAAAAATACAAGATTGCATTTGAGAAAAATGCTATGCCACCGCATTAATACAACACTAAATAGTAGTGTAGGAACATATTTTTTTTGTTTCTATACAATTGAAGATTGTCATAATGCATAGATCCCTGACCTATCTAATTCTTATTATCAGATTAGTGGTTAAATCTATTGTTAATCCAATTAGAGTAGGAATATATCAATGCATTTGAGTCTAGTGAATTTGGTGGTGAAGGTTATATTTCACACAGCCTAAATTTCCTGACTACATCAAAGGACAACACAGTAAGACACAAAATTTTGACCCAAGGGTTTAATTCAAAACAATCTTGATACAGGTCCACCAAACAACATTTCAAGTCAAATATCTAAGCTGTAGCTTTCTCCAATTCAGAAAACATTTGTTTTATTTTCTGTTTTTACTATGTGTACATAATGAGAATCAATGGCCCCCGGGCAGGGCCAATTTTGACACCAGGGGAAAAATTTGAACACCTTTAGTAGAGGACCTATAGATGATATTATATAGCAAACATCAAAGCTCTATGCCTTGTACCTTCAGACAAAAAGATTTTTTGATTTTTTTTTACTATATGTACATAATGAAAATCAATGACCCCTGGGCGGAGCCAATTTTAACCCCAGGGCTATAATTTGAACAATCTTGGTAGAGGTTCACTTCGCAAAGTCTCATGCCAAATATTTAACCTCTAGCCTTTGTCTATTCAGAAAAGAAGATTTTTCAAGTTTTTACTTTATACATATAGGGAATACTATCGCCTCTGGGGCAGGGCAATTTTAACACTAGGGGCATAATTAAAACAACTTTAGTAGAGGACCCATAGATGATATTATATACCAAATATCAAAGCTCTAAAGAAGATTTTTATTTTTTTACTATATGTACATAGTGAAAATCAATGACCCTGAGGTGGGGCCAATTTTGACCCCAGGGCTGTAATTTGTACAGTCTTGCTAGAGGTTCACTTCACAATGTTTCATGCAAAATATCTAACCTCTAGCCTTTGTCAATTTAGAGAAGACGATTTTTTAAGTTTTAACAAAACCTATGACCCCCAAGGCTGGGCTAATTTTGACACTAGAGTCAAAATTTGAACAACTTTAGTAGAGTACCTATAGATGACATCATATAACAAATATCAAAGCTCTAAGCCTTGTTCCTTCAGACAATAAGATTTTTTTATTTTTTACTTTATGTACAAAGTGAAAATCAAAGACCCCCGGTGCGGGGCCAATTTTGAACCCAGGGCTATAATTTGAACAATCTTGCTTACACAATGTTTCATGCAAAATATCTAACCTCCAGCATTTGTCAATTTTGAGAAGAAAATTTTTACTATATACATATAAGGAAACCTATGACCCCCGGGGCGGGGCTGATTTTGACACTAGAGGCAAAATTTGAACAACTTTGGTAGAGTATGTATAGATGATATCACATACCAAATATCAAACCTCTAAGCCTTGTACCTTCATACAAGAAGGTATTTGAAGTTTTTACTATATGTAAAGTGAAAATCAATGACCCCCGGGCGGGGCCGATTTTGACCCCAGGGCTATAATTTGAACAATCTTGGTAGAGGTCTACCAGACAATGCCTTACGCAAAATATCAAAGCTCTAGGCCTTTTGGGTCTTTACAAGAAGATTTTTTAAATTCATTCTTATAATTCCTTTTGGTTGCCATGGCAACCAGATTTCTCAATGGAATGAAATTTTATGAACAACTTTGGAAGCCCTTCACCCAAGGATCAATCCTGCCAAGTTTGGTTGAAATTGGACTAGTGATTTTTCACAAGAAGATTTTTAAGTTCACTATATAATCTATAGAACACACATACATACAAACACACACAAACAGGTGAATCGCTATATGCCATCGCATGGCAGATGCTGCGGTGGCATAAAAAATACGTTTGCTGATCAATGCTCCACCTCCAAATGAAAAGTGTCCAAAAATTATGGCATGTATGTCTAAAATAACTATGCAAACCTTTGAAGAAGTAAAATTGTTTCCATACAATGGTTTTCTTACAAATATGAATTATGTATGATAATGATTAGCAACTATAGAGCAGAATCAGGAGTTGTTGACAAGATCAGAGACATCTTTTCACTGATCCTGGACACAAGTGATTGACAGGCACTTGAGATCATTTAGTGTGCTACAAGTGTTAATCAAAATTAAAAAGCAGTCTTATCAAGACTTCAAAAGACTTTGCTGACATGGGTACGTGACAAACTGTGCGCTAGGAAAATTAAGGCGGAGTCATTTATGCAGACAGTTGACAGGTTTGTTGTATGATAATTGCATTAATGATAAAGATGTAAGATAAATAGCCAATAGTACCCTTATCTGTAGAAGGTATACTATTTAGCAAAAGTGAATAGAAACAAAGTAAACAGGTCTGAGAAAGCCCACCAGCAGTTTGACCTGTGGAAGTCAGACAAGATTTTTTAATTTATACCTCTGGTGGCCATTTTTTTCAATGAAGCACAACATGCGGGTCATGCACATCTAGGGATGGTACTTATCACTCCTGTGAAGTTTCATTGAAATCCCACCAGCAGTTTGACCTGTGAAAGCCAGACAAGATTTTTCTATTTATAGGTCTGGCAGCCAAATTTTGTGCAGTGAAGCAGAGTGTTCCGGCCATATGCACATTGCCATATGCTATTTTTTACAGCGGAGCAGAATGTACCTGAGATATGAACAACTAGGGATGGTACTGATCACTGTGAAGTTTCATTGAAATCCCTCCAGTAGTTACACATGTGAAAGCCGGACAAGATTCTGGCCAATACTTTTGAGAGACATAATTATTTCATTGTAATCTCTCTTCATAATATAAACAGTTATGGTAGACATCCACCAGAGGATGTTTCATGCCAAATATCTAAGCTCTAGCTCTTTCGGTTTTTTACAAGAAGTTTTTTTAAGATTTTTCTTTTGGTTGCCATGGCAACTAGAATTTAGCATGGAATGGAATTCTTTGAACAATTCTTATAGAGATTCATGCAAGTTACATTCCTTTATAGTTTTAACAATATTGGCCTATTGGTATAGGAGGAGTTGTTGTTTAAAGAGTTTGACACCATTATTTGAAGGACACACAACTGATGCAGAGTGATCACAACAGCTCACCCTTAGCATTGTGCTCAGGTGAGCTAAAATCGGAATAAATAGAATGAAAGAAAAAAACCATTACCTATTGTTCTCCTAGTCACACAAGTACCTCTTTGTTTGTATGGATGGACAGACTGCGGAGGGTTAACCTAACGTCCCCTGCGGTAAAACAGGTAAGGGACTGAAAACAAGGGAAGCTTATGCCCCAAAAGCGCTCACCTGGGGATAGGCTGTCATTTGTGTATCACAAAAGGTAAAATGGTTAAGTTTACCTAAGTTGAAAATCTCAGCCCCTACTGTTGAGGTAGAAAGATATTCATATCTTATAAACTTACTAAAGATACATCAAGCTCCTTCAATGTATTAAAACTGAGGTATGCTGTTTTCAGGTAAGGCCATACCAAACCTGGGGTTCTGTCACCTCCGCAGATCTCCAGCAAGTCCTGCAAACAATATTTGTTTGTTTTTATTTCACCATGTATAGTTAGTAAAAATTCTGATATAAAAAGAGCTATAAAATCAATGTGTTATTTCTAAAACAAAATACCTTGATATGCATATTACATGTATCTGGAGAAGTAAAAGTAAACAAGTGGGCCAATGGCACCAAAGTTCTCACCAGAGGACAGACTGTTATTTGTGTGAAAGCAGTGAAAGATAATGTTAACACAGTGATGTGCACAACTAAGGATGGTACTCATGGCAGATCACTCCTGTAAAGTTTGGTTGAAATCCAATGAGTAGTTGGACAGGATTTTTCTATTTTTAGCTCTGGTGGCCATTTTGAAGAAGGGATGTGGTTCCTGGATGATACAGAATGTTGTTATGAGATAGACATTTGATAGACAAGTTATTTCAAAATCCCTCAATGCATGACAAAGTAACAGTCTGGACATGATTGTTGTGTAAGTGGGGACACATGGACGGACGGACATGAGCCTTAGCCGCGACACATTGTCTTGATGTGGTAGACATTTGCGCCAAATTATTTTAAAATCTTTCCATGCATGACAAAGTTACAGTCCAGACATGAATGTGTCTCTTCCAGTTCGAGAGAAAGAGTACCTTCAAACTATAAGTGTGACCTTAACCTTGAAGGTAGGGACATGGGTCTTAGTCGCGACATGTCTTCTTGATGTGGTAGACATTTATGCCTAGTTATTTTAAAATCCTTAAATGCATGACAAAGTTACAGTCCGGACACGAATGTGTGAACCTATAAACTAATTGTGATAAAGTGAACTTCAAAATGGTAGTGTGACCTTGACCTTTGAGGTAGGGACGTGATTATTGGATGTGACACATTGTCTTGATGTGGTAGACATTTATGCCAAGTTATTTTAAAATCCTTCCATGCATGACAAAGTTACAATCCGGACACAAATGTGTGTACCTATAAACTCTTATTGTGATAATCATAAAATGAAACTTCAAAATGTTAGTGTGACCTTGACCTTTGAGGTAGGGACCTAATTATGAGACACGACACATCGTCTCTATGTGGTAGACATTTATGCCAAGTTATTCTAAGATCCTTCCATGCATGACAAAGTTACAATCCGGACACAATTGTGTGTACCTATTAATTCTAATTGTGATAATGTGAAACTTAAAATGTTAGTGTGATCTTGACCTTTGAAGTAGGGACCTAATTCTTGGACGCGACACATCGTCTCGATGTGGTTGACATTTATACCTAGTTATTTTAAAATCATTTGATGCATGACAAAGTTACAGTCCGGACACAAATGTGTGAACCTATTAACTCCATTTGTGATAATGTGAAACTTCAGATGTAAGTGCGACCTTGACCTATGGGGTAGGGACGTGGTTCTTGGATGCAACACATCGTCTTGATGTGGTTGACATTTGTGACAAGCTTATTCAAAATCTTTCAATGTATGATTAATTTACAGTCTGGACAAGAATGAAGTGGGGACGCAAAGACAGACACAGACGGACAGACAGACAGACAGATGGACGGAGCGATTTTAATATGCCTCCCTTCGGAGGCAATAATGATAATAAATATAATAATGATATAAATATATTTCTTCTTCTAATGACAAGAAGTTATAGTTGTTAACATAAATTTCAAGTTCAAGGGGGAATAATTATGGAAATTGTCACACTAGAGTTATGGATCTTATCACACAACATGTGTGTAATGATAAGAAATTTATATTTGAAGTTTGAAGAAGAAACCTTAAAAAGTAAAGAAGTTATAATATTTCTTAAAGAAAATTCTAAGTTCAAAGGGTGATAAATCTGAAAATATTGCATCAAGAGTTGTGAACCTTGTCACATAAGATCTGGTTTATGATAAGTAATATGTATTTGAAGTTGAGGTAGTATAGTATCTTTAAAACTAAAGAAATTATAGTAAAAAACTAGAAACGGGTGCCCCCACTGCGCCACTGTTCTGTTATGACTCTAGGTTAAATATTTTTTGAAAACTAAAAATCTTTTATTAAGTAAAGGGCAAGAACTTTACATAAATCCACAAGAAAACCCCAAGGTGCATAAGTACACATGCTGACCAACATTCTTGTAAACTTTCAGGCCTACAAGTGAAATACTTTTTGAGCTATGCATGAACAAGTTGAAAATTGCAAATTCATACTACTGTAAGTCAAGGGCAATAACTCTTACAAAACAGAAAAAAATCCACATGCAAAGTTCCAGGTGCATAGCTTTACCGTGATGTGAATCATTATTCCTGTAATTTAGTGATGTTGATCATTATTCCTGTAAAGTTGGTTGATTCTAACTCAAGCACACATTAGGAACAAATAACAACATAATGAAACTGTTTTTATTAAGTCAAGGGGAATAACTCTACAAATACTGGATAAATCCACAAGCGAAACCCCAGGTGCAAAACTAAATATGCTGAGCAACCTTCCAGTAAGGTTTAATGACTATGTCAAATCCTTTTTGAGTTACATGCGACACAAGTTGAAAATTGCAAAATTTTACTAAGTCAAGAGCAATAACTCTAAAAATATTAAAATTTTCCACACAAAAATACCCAGGTGCACAACTACACATGCTGATCAACATTCCTGTAAAGTTTCATGACTCTAGGTCAAATACTTTTTGAGTTACATGCGACACAAGTTGAAAATTGCAAAATTTTACTAAGTCAAGGGCAATAACTCTAAAAATACTAAATATATCAAGACGAAAATACCAAGGTGCACAACTTCACATGCTGATCAACCTTCCTGTAAAGGTTCATGACTCTAGGTCAAATACTTTTTGAGTTACGTGCGACACAAAAGAGAACGGACGGACGGAAGGACGGACAGACAAGGGTAAATCTAAATGCCCGCCACTAAAGTGGGGGCACAATAACATTTTTCAAGTAAAATTATCTAAGTTAATGGGAGTATCATTCTTGCAATATTGGTCCTAGAGTTATGAACCTTGTCACATAAGATGTGGTTAATGATAAGGAACATAATTATGTTGATCCCTTAAGAAATAAAGAAGTAACAGTAAAAAATAATATTTTTTACGGAAAATTCTAAGTGCAAGGGGAGATAAATCTGAAAATATTGCTGCTAGAGTTATGAACCTTGTCACATAAGATGTGACTGATGATAAAGAACATACATTTTAAGTATGAAGTTGATTTCTTAAGAAATAAAGAAGTAACAGTAAAAAATAATATTTTTAAGGAAAATTCAAAGTTCAAGGGTAGCTAAATCTGAAAATATTGGTGTTAGAGTTATGAACCTTTTCACATAAGATGTGATTGATGATATAAGGAACTTATATTTGAAGTATAAAGTTGATTTCTAAAGAACTAAGGAAGTAACAGTAAAAAATAATATTTTAAGGAAAATTCTAAGTTCAAAAAGAGATAAATCTGAAAATATTATTGCTAGAGTTATGAGCCTTGTCACATATATAACGAACATATATTTGAAGTATGAAGTTGATTGCTTAAGAAATAAGAAAGTAACAGTAAAAAATAATATTTTTTAAGGAAAATTCTAAGTTCAAGGGGAGATAAATCTGAAAATATTGGCGCTAGAGTTATGAACCTTGTCACATAAGATGTGATTGATGATAAGGAACATATATTTGAGGTGTGAAGTTGATTTCTTAAGAAATAAGGAAGTAACTGTAAAAAATAATATTTTTTAAAGAAACTTTTAAGTTCAAGAGGAGATAAATCTAAAAATATTGGTGCTAGTGTTATGAGCCTTGTCACATAAGATGTGATTGATGATAAGAAACATATATTTGAAGTATGAAGTTGATTGTTTAAGAAATAAGAAAGTAACAGTAAAAAATAATATTTTTAAGGAATCTTAATTCAAGGGGAGATAAATCTGAAAATATTGGTGTTATTGTTATGAACCTTGTCACATAAGATGTTATTGATGATAAGGAACATATATTTGAAGTATGAAGTTGATTTCTTGAGAAATGAAAAGGTTATAGTGAAAAATATTTTACTGCACCAAAACTTTGATATGAAATCTGGACAGGGACGTGGGGGCAAGCAGGACAGCTCTCCATATACTTTGTATAGTCGAGCTAAAAATGAACAAAGGGTAATAACTCCAAAAATAGGCAAGCCAGAGTTACGGTTCTTTTGCACTGCACATCTACCATATAAGATCTATCTACCTACACTTTCATGTTGATATCTCTTCAGTTGTCCTGGACAAAGTTCAAAGTTTAACAAGAGGGCCATGATGGCCCTGAAATAGCTCACCTGAATATCAAACTCTTCATAACAAGGAACAAGCAATATTGTTATCTATCAACAAAGTTGATATAAAATCTAAATCTAAAACTGATATTACAAAGTTTATATTTGTATTTGAAACAGTGCATATGTAAAAAACATTACTAAGGGAAAACAACAGTTGCAAAAGGGTTTTTGAAAAAAAGAAGATAAAAGCATTTAAGCTTTTACTTTATACATACAGTTCACTCTCGCTAACTCGAATTTCAAGGGACTGGGTATTTCACTTAGAGAGAAATGGAATTCGAGTAGCGTCGATCTGCAGCCATTACGTTTGCATTCATACATGTATATACATGACTGTGCCTGATTGAATGTCCATCAGTAATAATATTAAGCACTGTCATGTTTAAAGTAAGCACTCATGACAATATTACGTCTATAGAAGCACAAAAACACATTTATTCAAACAACAATACGTCTAAAAGTTAGAGAATTTATCATCGAACAAGAATGAAAGTAGCATTTATCGTGAACCGGAAGTATGTATTAATGTATGAATATGTAAAATGACGGAACATTAATTATACAAATGTCATTTACGTTGATAACACCCATCCATACCTAGACTGGATCTTGATTTAGTTATATAACTGTTAAAATCAATTAAGTCCTTAAACCGATTAAAGTCACTTTTACGAAGTGTTAATAATACATGATGACCGACAACTAAAATTA